TATGCGGAAAACCGGAGTTATTAACATTTTTTCAAAATACACGTGGTCGGTGATCTTAAGTTAGAGTAACGTGCTATACATCAAAAGACGCGGATTTTGATGCTTTATAATATAGTGAAAACCGCATAAAGCGGCGACTTTAGGAAAAAAGTTATTCAAAAAAAAAGTGATTGAAAAATTATATTTCCTGCCCTACACCCAGTCAGTGACATGCATTGTACAGTTTTTATCAGGGAATAAGTGTATACGCGTAATATCTAAGATCTCACCAAATTTGAGAATTTTCCGTGCAGGAAAAACCTATTTTCCAGTGGTTTTCCGTAAACCACGTGGTCGGCCATTTTGAAAACCAGAAGCGTGCGGCTGGTGCCAAAACTGGATTTCGAAGGACAATCAACAGGTGAACTCATTGTTATGAACAGTTTTTCCAACAATTGCACCGTTTTGACATAAATAGACTTTTTTACCCTTATTAATCAATGTACTCCAACTTTCAAAATTCTATATCTCTAGAAGGAATACTCCTAAAATTCTGTTCTAAGTGTTAATAGATAGCGCATATCATACACTACAAACTCTCAAAATTTCAAAATTTTATATTTAGTAGTTCAAAAGTTGCAAAAGTTTTCCATAATTTAAAAATAGTTTTCCGCTCAAAATGTGCAATATTTCTACATTCAGACCTAAATATCTCGCAAACGGTGCAAGATAGCTCAATTTTGAGACCAGTTTTGGCGTTATTATATATATATATATAATATATTATATATGGTCCCCCAGACCTTTGGAACCCCCCCCCCCCCCCACCCCTAGGACTAAGTTGATAATTTAATATGTGTGAAAACTTAATATTACTGTGTGTGTAGACTTTGAGACTCCTAAATGTTACGACGTCATAGTGCTATTATCGCAGTGTTCTTCCGAAGTGGACAATCCCCCCCGCTTACGCCCCCTCCGAGAATTAGACGCTCAAATCAAAACTTAATGACCTGGACAATAATTGAAATTTTAAGACTCTATGTGAAAGTGTAGCCATGCCTGCGACTCAGGGAGACCCCCTGCCCTCCCGGCCACGGCCGAGGAGGTCAGAGACTTTTGATACATTCACCTCTGTGATCAACAAGCTGACTTCATGTGTCAGCTCAGCAATAAATGAGGGAAAAAGTGTAACTGCGGTGAATAAGCGTCTGGCCATGGAGGAAATCCGCCGGGCTGCCCGAACCCTAAATAGTGTTAGCACCATCGCCTCTCCCAGCGCATCAGCCCTGGGGGAAATTAAAGAAGAAATCGTGGCCTGTGTCCGCGAGGAGATGACTGGTTTAAGGAAACTGGTCAACACAGTGAAAAAACCAACCTACGCCCAGGCTGTCTCTGCGGCCAGTGGGGCTTCTACATCTGTGGGAGGGCCTGCCCCCGCACCGTACCAACTATCTCAAAGCCTGCCGTAATCATCACCCCGGCTAAAGATGTTAAAACGCGTCAGGAGGCTGTTGAATTATTTAGGAAAAGTATATCATATAGGAACTCCACTTATGCACCGACTAGGGTTCAACCCGTATCCAACAACAAACTCCGCGTGGAGTTTGAAAATGTCTCACAAAGGGATGACACGCTCACAAGGCTAGAGAATAGCAAGGATGTCAAAGCAGAACCCGTGCGTATGCTTAAACCCATGGTTATTCTTAAGGGCATATCCAAGGATGTTCCCTCGGAGGACCTGGTTAAGTTGATCAGCAAGCAAAACCCTGAGATATCCCATTTGATTGAGGGTGAGGGTCGTGACGGTGAGGGCCTCCGACTCCGCTTTAAGCGAGGTAATCGCAATAGTAATCTATATAACGCGGTGTTCCTGGCAGAGGCCAAGGTATACCGTAAGATTCTCGACTTAGGGAGGGTCTGCGTGGATCACCAGAGAATAACCGTGGACAGCTTTTCTCCGTTCTTGCAATGCCACAAGTGCCTTCAGTTCGGACACATGAGGTCCAAATGCACCGCCACCGAAAGTCTTTGCTCGCACTGTGCTGGCTCCGACCACCAGGTGGACAAATGCCCTGTGAAAAATGAGCCTGGCAGCGTCAAGTGCTATAATTGCACTTCTCACAATGCCAGATTTAAATCCAACCAAGACTGCAAACATACCGCTAATTCCGATAAATGTCCCAGACTGCGAGCCATGAAAGATAAAATAAATCAAAGAGTCGACTATGGATTTGCACCATAAAAACATAAAAATTTTGCAGTGCAACATTGATAGATCGAAAAGCAGTCTTCATGAACTACTTGTGTCTTTCATGGCTGGCAGCCATGACATCGCATTAATTTCTGAACCATATGTTGGCTCGGGTCTGGAACTTAGAGCTGTTCACGGTGTTCAAATAATACAGTTCCCATCACTGGAAACAAGGGTCAAGGCCTGCATTTTGGTCAGGCCAGGATGCGGCTCCATTATGGGGCTCACACAGTATTCCACACCTAATCTCTGCGTAGCACGCCTCTCTGCCGGGAACCGTGTTAAATATATAGCTTCAGTGTACATCGAACCAGATAGAGATGAATCAGCCACTCTGGACAAATTGGATGCCTTTCTTAAGGCCAGCCGGCGACTCACCTAAAATTGTTGGGGGGGGACTTCAATGGCTGGCATCCCATTTGGGGTAGCCCAGTCGCCAATGCTAGGGGTGGTGACGTGGTCGATCTGGTTTATGGTAACGAGTTGGTTGTCTGTAATGTTGGCGATTCGCCCACGTTCGAGACGATCACTCACGGCTGGCACCGGGATTCGATCATTGACATTACACTAGCATCTGTATCGATATACCATCTCGTATCGGAATGGCAGGTCAACCCCCAGATATGTACCTCATCTCAACACCACGCTATTGAATTTTACCTAAACAGTCCTAATTCTGATTTGTACACTAACAATAACACATCCACCTTCATTTATAAATCGAAAAAAAGCCTGTTGGCCTTTATTTAATGAAACTCTTCACTTACACTTAACACAATCTGATATCTTGGACATTAATATATCTGCCCTGAATCCCTCCGGAGTTGGATGACCTCATAGCCAAAGTTGTGGAAATTATCCACATTGCCTGCCGTAAAAGTATGCGGATGAGAGGTAAGGGAGGGAAATACAAGCCCCCTTGGTGGTTAGAAGAACTAGAGGCTCAGAAGCTCGAGATAATAAAATTGCATCATCGCATACAGGAGGCAAAGAGACGCGGTCTAGCCATAGAGGACTTAGTTCAGCAACACATGACTCTCAAGGCAGCATATGCACAAAACTTAAGAGCTGAGTCCACAAGAAGCTTTAGGGATTTTTGCAGCCTTCAAACCAAGGAGAATGTCTGGTCCCTGACTAATAGACTATTAAAAGAGTCCACTGCTAGACGCCCACCTACCACCTTAAAAATAAATAATAAGTTCACTGCGGACAATTATGAAACTGCAACTGCACTGCTTAACCATTTTTATCCTCCTGATCTACCAGACACTGACCCCCGTCATCACGAGCTGACTGCCCACCTCGATGACACTTTGGACACCAATGATGAACCACCCTTCACTTCAGAGGAGGTGCTGGAGCACTTGAGTCTAATGAACCCCAATAAGGCTCCCGGGTTAGACAATCTAACTTCGGATAAACGCCTGCAGTTCACAAAAAACTATCCGCGACTTATAACTGACATTATGAACAGGTGTCTGGCGCTTCAGCATTTTTCTGACTGTTGGAAGGTGGCGTATGTTAAAATTATCCCCAAACCAAGTAAGAGTGATTATGGTGAATTAAACTCTTTTCGTCCCATCGTATTGCTTCCTGTGTTTGGCAAACTGTTGGAAAGATTGTTTATCAAGCGTGTCACCTTTTGCGCCGCTGGCAACAACCACAGCTGCCCACGGCAGTTTGGCTTCCGCGAGCAAACAAACACAACCGCGGCCATTAACTCTGCGCTCGGCGTTATTCGTCGGGCCAAGGAAAGTGGGGAGCTGGTGATCGCACTATCATTGGACATCAAAGCGGCCTTCGACAATGCCTGGTGGCCGGCACTATTCCACAGGATGAGGCTGATGAACTGTCCTCACAACATCTATGGACTCATTTGCAGCTACGTTCGAAACCGCGTGGTGACTCTCAATCATGCCGGGGTCAGGGTCACCAAGATGATGACTAAGGGATGCATCCAGGGTTCCGCCTGTGGCCCGGTGCTGTGGAATATCATTCTTGATGAGCTCCTTGAAGAGGAACTTCCGGCAGGTTGCCATATACAGGCGTTCGCAGATGACGTGTTCCTTGTCGTGTCAGCCAAAGATGTCCACCGGCTTGAGAGTGCGACTAACACTGCGCTCTCTCGTATCACTGCATGGGGATCAAGTGTAAAATTGGTATTTGGTCCCTCCAAAACTCAAATGATCGCGTTCACACCTGGTGCAAAGACTGCAAAAATCACTATGAACGGACACACATTAAAATTCTCTTCTGATGTCAAATTGTTGGGTGTCATGCTGGATGAAAAACTGCTATTCAATAAGCACATCCAGTATGTCATCGGTAAGGCGACAAAAATTTTTAATAAACTTTGCCTATTTTCACGGCCTACTTGGGGTGCACACCCGGAGAACATACGCGCTATATACCATCAGGTAATTGTACCTATTGTGACATATGCTGCTGGTGTATGGGGGGCACGTCGCTTCCAAGAGAGGAGTCAGAAAGCGGCTGGAGAAAATGCAGAGAGGATTCTCCATCAAGGCGATTAAGGCATTTCGTACCGTCTCCACATCGGCTGCTCTGGCCCTCGCCGAATTTACACCAATCGACTTAAAAATTCAGGAGGTTCATGCGGTGGAAAGGACTAGATTGTCCTGCACGTCAGACTTTCTACCGCATGACATAACTTATGAAAAGCCAACACAATTACACGAACTTTTGCACCCCAGTGAGAGGATCACCATTCAACATGACACACTACATAGCCAGCGGGAGGTGGATGCCGCCATCATTCCTGACTCGGTCTGTATATATACAGACGGTAGCAAGCAGGAGGACGGGGCTGTTGGGGCGGCCTTTGTTGCCTACGTTCCCGCGGGAGACTCACCCAACACTGTAGTTAAAAAATTCAAATTGCATGACTCATGCTCCGTATTTCAGGCTGAACTGCTAGCCATATTTAAGGCTTGCAACTGGACCCTTAACAATAATCACATCCAAACTGTTTTATTTTCCGACTCTCTTTCTGCTATAAAGGCTATACAAAACGAAGTAATACTCACCCTATAGTGGTTGAAATACATAAAACAATTCATGAAATTAGGAAGTCTGGCTGCATTAAGATAGTATGGGTGAAAAGCCATGCGGGTATTGTGGGAAATGAAATGGCGGACATGGCAGCCAACGCTGGCTGTAAACTACACAAAACACCAGACTACGCACACTTTGCCATCTCGTATACAAAACATTTAATACGCACTAAACACCGGGCTCTATGGCAGACCCGTTACGAGAGTGCAGAACAGGGCAGACACACTAAAACACTCCTCCCCACACTTGATGACATTACCACACTCAACAAAATCACCTGTCCTGACTTCTACTTAACCCAAGTTCTCACCGGTCATGGCTTTCACAAGTCATATTTATATCGGTTCAAAATCACTCCTGATGACAGATGTCCTTGTGATGATATTACGTCCCAAACGCTGGAACATCTGTTGGAAAAAATGCCCCGCGTTCGGTGCACAGAGAGTCACCCATGAGATATTATGTGCCAATGTGAGAGTGTCACCCTATAAAATAGTTGATATAATGAAAAAAGAGTCCAGTTGGAACTCTTATGTAACGTTTGTTAAATATATATTATCACGCCTTAAAAGGTTCAATGTTAATAATTAAAAATACATTAACTTATACAGTTTATATTTTTCTCTATTTTTTATTTCACGTCCATCATGTTTTTATTTTATACTGTCATATCTCGGCATAACATAAATTGTATATATTAATTCTGACTAGTTTTAAGATTTTCTGTAAAAAATTTCGATTTTTTTTTTGTTTTTTTTTTCTGTTTGTTAAGTCAGTAAGTTTTGTTTTATATCCCATTTTACCTGTTATTTCTTGTTAACAATTAAGGTCCAATATCAATAATTTGGTACACATTGATTCATATTTTGTATATATTCTTCATCTTTACTTCACGCTCATTTAGTTTTATTTTATATTATCACAACATCATTCTTCTTGTATCTTAGCTGTTAATTGTCTCTTATCATATGTATAGTATTTTATAGTATATTTAGGCTAATATTACATCTTATCTTTATTGTAACTCCTTATTACATTAAGTTGCGGCGACGTGAGACTAACGAATCCAGTTTTTAGTATAGTGAAATTGTAAATTTGAAAAATTGAAAACTAATTCTTTGATATTAAAGTGTACCAACTGTAGCAATTATTATACTTGTATATTACTGTAATTTTTTTTTAAATATTAATAACATTTTTTTTCCCTTTCTTTCTATATTGTTTTCTACCATTTAGTTAACTATTCAAAAATGTAAATATAAGCTCTCAATGACAGTGTACCCACTGCAAAAAATATTTGTTTTAGTATAAGTTGTCTTATGTTTTATGTGCTTTTACATTGTTAATCCTTAAATTTTTTTTCACTCTTCTAAATACAAATGTATATATTTTGTTTTTCTTCTTCTACTACTTTTAAGCAAAATGTACTACCACCTAAGCCTACCACCCCCAGCCCTGCCACCACAACCGCAGCAGCACAGGATGCAGCCAGGACTTTCATTAAAAGACCGGAGACTAAAAGAAGATCGCTCGACAACATGGACATCTACAAAAAGCAGAAACATAATTACGCTGCATTGCCGAGCGATCAGCTCCTCCAGGAGATGATGAAAACCTTCGAGGATATACCCTCGAAGGTTCAGGAGTATCCTCAGATGAGGAAAGATATTAAACATTTCCTGGAGGTGCAGTCTGACAAGGGCATCAGAGCAATATTCGAGCTCAGCGGACGCATACAAAGTCTGGAAGCAGAGGCCTTAAAAATAAGATCACCAACAAAAACCTTGTCGTCCGAAGGGCATTATTGAGAAACTGGGAGAGGTGGAAGCGACGCTGACAGAGCATATAAAAGAAATGGAGCGAAGTCTGAAAACAGACATAGAGGCACTCCACAATAGTAACGACGACCGAGGCTCTGACATGATCGACAAGATCACCGATAGGATCGATGAAACCAGGGCTGCCATAGACGAAACGACCGAGAAGGTCGAGAGTCGAACGCACGCCCTGATTAAAGATCTGATCGGTGGTATTGCCGATGACGTCATCGCAGCCAAAAAAAGATCTTTTGGAAGTCACAAAAGGACTGGCATGCGAAATAAACGCAGCACCAGTCCTTAAGTCATATGCCAGCGTCGCGGCAGCCAAACCTGTCCACCGCCCTGCACTTCACTCAATGGCGGTCACCCTCGAAGGTGGTCTGGAGACTGCTGACGAGGTGCTCGCCAGGGTGAAAAAAGCGGTTGACGCTAGAGGTACTGGCCTTAAAATAAACAAGGTTCGCAAGGCCAAAAATCAAAAAGTTATATTGGGTTGCGACACTGAAGAGGAGAGGACGATAGTCCAAAAAATAATAGAGAGTCGCGGGGAGGGACTAATAGTAGCGCCTATAAAAAATAAGAATCCTCTAGTCATCTTGAAAGATGTTTTCATGGATGGCGAAGACGACGATATAATTAAGGCGCTATACGCCCAGAATAAAGATGTTTTCATTGGTCTTACGGAAGAGGACATAGAAATGACGGTCAAATTTAAAAAGCGCAAAAGAAATCCAAGGACAGTGCACATCATTCTGCAGGTGAAACCTAATATTTGGCAGAGGATGACGGAGGCTGGAGCCCTCTATCTAGACCTACAAAGGGTCAGAGTCGAGGACCAGTCTCCGCTCATCCAATGCACGAAATGTCTTGCATACGGACATGGTCGGAAATTTTGCACCGAGAGTGTGGATAGATGCAGTCACTGTGGAGGACCGCATCTGCGCGAGAAATGCGCAGACTTTACCGCAGGTAATGAACCACAGTGCTGCAACTGCTCACACTCTGGGTTGCGGAAGACCGACCATAATGCATTTAGTGCCGAATGTCCGGTACGGAAAAGGTGGGACTACCTGGCTCGCGCAAATACGGCCTATGCCTGAACCACTTACGACAAACTTCACTACACGCACAAACAGCCAAAAAGCACACAAGAACATAAACACCACACATATAAGCATAAAATACACGACAACACGAACACAAACTGATATACAGAATGTATATTGAATATACACGATTATATCAGCACAGTAACACTTACATGAATCACAACACTAACACAAAACAAGAAAAACAACATGAAATAAAAAATAGCAAAAGAAATGGTCAATATATATATATAAATTCAGTATATATATTATATTGCCTAGGAAAAGCGTGATTGAAATATAGAAGGATGTACAAAGACACATGACAGAAACTCATCAATCCTGACAAATGCATAATTGTAAAGACCTGGCAAAATTGTAAATTGCAAATGTTAAAACTAAATAGATTTAAATTCTTAGTACAGTACAAATAATAGATATAAGAATAATTAAGAAATGGCAATAAATAATGATAAATAAGACGATAGAGAATAGTAGGTTTTTGTTTTAATTGATGTTAGATTTATAAATGTAGAAATAGAATTAAGAAAAAGCTATAGGAATTAAGAAATAAAATGATAAGTACAATAGTTGTAAGCCAATAAATAGGTAATTAAGGAAATTTGTAATTTAAATAAAAATTAGTATATAAGGTGTAGTGTGGAAATTTGTAAGTTTAAACAGTATATATAAGGTGTATATATCATTGAAGATATATCAGAAAATAAATAAAATGTAAGAAACTTTATTTTCCCAAACGAAGTAAAAATATAAAAATTAGGCATAGAGAGCGGGAGTCCCACCCGGCAAAGAATGAATGTGGATGAATAAAAGAAAGACCAAGTATGCAGCTTGAAAGTGTGAATAAATGCGAGAACTGGAATGTATGAGTAATATAGTTTAATAAGGTCCCGGTGTTCTCATGATCGGGGGAAAAGCGTAAAAAAAAAAAAACCTCACCTCACCTCACCTAACCTAACCTAACCTAACCTAACCTAACCTAACCTAACCCAACCTAACCCAACCTAACCCAACCTAACCCAACCTAACCCAACCTAACCCAACCTAACCCAACCTAACCCAACCTAACCCAACCTAACCCAACCTAACCCAACCTAACCCAACCTAACCCAACCTAACCCAACCTAACCCAACCTAACCCAACCTAACCCAACCTAACCCAACCTAACCCAACCTAACCCAACCTAACCCAACCTAACCCAACCTAACCCAACCTAACCCAACCTAACCCAACCTAACCCAACCTAACCCAACCTAACCCAACCTAACCCAACCTAACCCAACCACTCCAAACGCCGTGCCGTACGCAGCAATTTTATATCGCTCCGCGCTCAAAAATACCAAGTGTCGGGTCAAAGTGTTCTAATTTTAAAGATTTATACATCGTTAGACGCGTCTCGTCGAGACAAAGACAGTGATACAATAAAAAAGTGATAAAAGTCTTACAGTTAACAAGTTATCACCAAAAAAACTGGTTTTTATAACCTCCAAAACATTTATAGTGGAACGCTGCTCGATCAAGATCGAAGACCTATGGTTTTTATAGTGTCAAAGGAAGCGTCTTGACAAGCTTAAGAATTTAAGCTAAATAGAAAAATTTTCCGGCGCCTGAGCACCGAAATATTTGGGAAAATCTAAAACCACGTGGCCACGTGTTTTTAGATAGGAGGCCGTGCGGCTGATTTTGACAACACAGAATCAAAGAGAACATCGAGGCAAAGCATCCGACACCTCGATCATCAAAATCGGACTAGAAACACCGGAGATACCACGCCTTGAAGATACCGACTTTCAGGAGGGACATTCAAAGGTGAATTACTCTGGTTTTTCAGTGACGACATATATATATATTGACTTTATTTAAAAGAGGAACTTGAGTTTTAACTAATAGTATAAAAAGTTTTAATTTTGGAGTGTAATTAGTAATTTTAAGAAAAATTTTAAAAAATTGGCAAAAACACGTGGGTCCTGAAAAACACTCCTGAAAATTCTGAAAAAAATTAGGGAATATTTCGTAACCTATATATATCATCCCAGAATTATTTCAAAATTTTCACTTCAATAGTTCACAAATTAGAGGCTTTTTTGCGGTTGTTGGTTTTTATAACACAATTTTCAAAATTTTAAAACTCAAAAAATTTTTCAGGAATATAAATTTATTAATTACAAATTATAAAACAGCAACTTATACTCTATCTACATTAATTTTTTCAGAATTTTCGAATAAGTAGTTTTAGAGTTATAAATTTATTTGTGTGAGCTGGGAGGTCCTGAAAACTGCATGATAACTGTGTTTTCAGTTTACAGGAAAACGGAGCCTCCTAGCTCAATTTTGACAATTTTTTCGGGGTCCCCCCCGTCACCCCCCCACACTATCCAGCTAACGGATAGTCTTCGGTCCCCACCGCATCATTTGGGGTGAATTTCAACCCCCCTACCCCTAAGTTGACTTCTGGACTTAGTCTCTGGGGGTTGAAAAACTTAAAATCGTTACAACACATTAACTAGTGCTCCGATTCGGACCGGGTTTTTTTGTAAAAATTAATATAAATAAAGATTAACAAATTTGAGGGGGACGGACTCTACATAGAGCACATCATTCTGCACAATCTCTAATCATAAACCCATCCTTTTTAACCTCGCTATACTAAGCACCCCACAGAAAATAATAATTAATACCACCAGAAAATTCAACACAAAGAGTGCTGACTGGAATAAATTTAGGACAGAATTAGAGAAAGCGATAAACAAGAAGGGACTCTCCAAAGAAAGCATAGAGGAGATAAAGACACCAATAGCTTTAGACGAAACTGTAGTTGAATATACAGAGTGTATCTTAGAAGCCTGTAATAAAATAATTCCAATAATAAAAAGGAAGCAAATGCCTAAGGCAGCGAAATGGTGGAACGCCGAATTAAAAGAGAAAAAGGACGAAATGATTAGAATCAGAAGAAGAATAAAGAACGCACACCCAAAACGGAAAAATCACGTCATACAACAATACCTGATTGCCAAAGAGGAGTACACAAGGAATATAGAAAGAGCTTCTACAAAGAGCTGGAAGGAATTGTGTACCAAGGAAGAAAAAGAAACTATCTGGCAACGAACGTATCGCATCTTAAAAGTCTGCACGAACAGGGAGGAAGACAAACTACTGAGGGACCAAAATGGGGAACTCTTATCGACAAAAGAATCAGCAGTTCTTCTAGCTAAAACATTTTACCCAGATGATAATAGTAACACGGACACAGAAGAACAGACAGAAATAAGGGAGAAAGTAAAAAGAATTTATTACTCAGATTAATAACCAACAGATTGACACCACGCAACCGTTTACAAAAGTCGAAGTAGAACACATACTGAATAACATGAACCCAAAGAAAGCACCAGGGGAAGATGGACTTACATCGGATATATGCCAAGAATCATACAACAGCAAGCCAGATCTTCTTGTCTCTCTTTACAATAAATGCCTTACATTGGGTTACTTTCCTCACAACTGGAAAAAAGCGACAATTAAAGTGATACCTAAATCGAACAAAGATGACTATACACAGCCTAAATCATATCGCCCCATCGGTCTTTTGCCAGTACTGGGAAAGATATTAGAAAAACTTTTTCACGAACAGAGTTCAATGGCAGTTAGGCAACGAAGAAAAAATGAATCAGAGACAATACGGATTTACACCACAACGTAGTACCGAGGACGCATTTTACGACATTATAACACTGATAAAAGAAGGACTTCGAGGGAAAGAGATAATTGTACTGATATCATTAGACATCGAAGGTGCTTTCGACAATGCATGGTGGCCTGCAATTATTACTGAACTAAGAAACAAACAAGTTGAACCTACAATTCTAAAACTCATAGTAAGCTACCTATCAGATCGCGAAATAAACTTAAGCTACGCCAATGAAAAAGTCACTACAAAAACCAGTAAGGGATGCATTCAAGGATCAACTTGCGGCCCCATGCTGTGGAATATCCAACTTGATCCCTTATTCCAGGCAACAGAAAACTCAGTAGTCCATGTACAAGCCTTTGCAGACGACATTTTAATAATAGCTTCGAATAAAGATGGCCAAAAGCTCGAAAAAAGATATTAATGATACTCTTAAAACAATACTAGAATGGGGACAAAAACACAAGTTTAAATTTGCCCCACATAAGACTCAAAGCACTATAATTACCAAAAAACTAAAATTTCACTGTCCCAAACTACTAATGCATGGAGTAACCTTAGCATATACAGATCAACTCAAAATTCTTGGATTAATAATTGACAAAAACCTTACCTTTAAGCTACATTTAGATTATATTTGCAGTAAAGCGGTTCGACTCTACAAGATAGTATCAAGAGCAGCAAGAGCGCAATGGGGTCTTAACTCGGACATAGTAAGAACTATCTACCAGGCTGTAGTCGAACCAACAATTTTGTACGCCGCGAGCTGCTGGGCTGAAGCCACAAACAAAAAACATATAAATCGAATGCTTAATAGATTTACACGAATGTTTAGCATTCGCATTTGCAAAGGCCATAAAACCATTTCTCTTGTTTCCAGTGCGCTACTAGCTCCGATCATACCTCTAGCGCTTCGAGCTAGAGAAAACGCCGAAGTATATGAAATAAAAAGAGGCAACCCATCGAGTCACTCCCGGGGGAGACATTTGGAGATGAGAATCAGTCCTTTCCACCTACCACACCCCTCATTAAGAACTAAGAGAGAGTACAAGTTAATAACGTGCCAAGAAGACATCGACCAAATTGATAATGAATGGCCAAAACTTTTCTCAGATGGCAGCAAAATAGATAATAAGGTAGGTGCGGCTATTTCGATATGGCAAAATGGAACAGAAATCAAAACCATTACCTGTAGGCTCGAAAGCTACTGCAGCGTTTACCAAGCCGAGCTAATTGCTATTCTGAAGGCTGTCACGTATATATTAGAAAAGAAAAACTTAAAAGCCAACATCCTTAGTGACTCGAAATCAGCAGTAATAAGTGTTTGTAACCCTATGTCACTTAATCCTATTGCAGCTGAGATTTCATCGAAGCTAAATGTCATTGAAATTAGAGAGGGTAAAGTCCAGATATACTGGATAAAAGCTCATTGTGGTTTATTAGGTAACGAGAGAGCAGATGAGCTGGCTAAATACGCCGCTACTAGCAAGAAACAGAGGGCAACCTATGACTTATTCCCATTGTCTTACGCCAAACACCTCACCAGGAGCAACACTCTACGAAGATGGCAAAGCAGATATGAAGAAGCAGCAACCAGTGGAACTATAAGAACTTTCTTCCCAAACGTTGTAACAGCTTATAAGATTTTAAAAAATATAAAAATTACAAACATTGTAACTCAATTGTTCACTGGTCACGGAGGCAATAAGGCCTATCTCTTTAGATATAAGATTTCACCATCCCCGTATTGCACATGCGATCACAGCACAGAACAAACAATAGAACATTTAATTATAGACTGTCCGCGATTTGGAAAAAAACGATATGAGTGTGAATGTAATATGGGAATGAACATAGCACGTAAGAACTTAAGTACTATTATGGGGGACATCGATTGCAGATATCACTTCATACACTTTGCTCTCTCAATACTAAAAGTTATTAATAAAGAGAATGGGAGCACTGTAATAGAATAAATTTAAGGCTCTGCAAGAGTCCCCAAAATAGGACTAGTCATAGTCATGAGTGCGAACTGTTACTAAAATACAGTAATGTAGTAGTAATAATGTGTTAAGTGCATGAAAAATAATAAAATTAGTTTAATAATAACTTGTAAGGAAAAAAAAAAGAAAAAAAAAGTTCTAGCAGATTTTCTTAAGGATTGTCACAAAAATAGGACTAGATAAGTGTAGAAAGCAAAGCCTTATACTGAGGTTTAGGTTACTTATTCATTCCGATCATGAAAGAAATAGACTTACCTCTACAGGCCTATCACCGTCCCCCTACTGTTGCTTTGACGTTTTATTATGGTAGATGACTATTGCAGATCTTACTTTATGCGTGAATTCGCAACAGTGTACGAATATAGTTCCTAAATAGAAATATGTAAAAGTAATAATACAAGGCTTAAAATAATATAGTATTGTGAAAATATCATGTAAATAGAAAATAGTTAATAAGGAAAGTAACTAGTAATTTGTATCCACATACTATCCTGAGATGTAGAAATGCAGATTAATTATTCTATAAATGTAAATAACAAACATTGGAAAATTTGAATGTCACATAAATAAGAGATAGAAAGTCATGCTTTAAAAGCAGTTATACGTTATAAGTTATGAGAAGTTATGTAAAGTATATGAGCTGTGTGAAGTAACGATGTGTAAACTTATAAGAGAATAAGCGCGGAAAAAAAAATGCAGAACTAATAAAAAAAGAGGACAAATAAAAAGAAACAGCAAAAAGAGTACCGCAGAATAGTGGTAGTAGTATTTATATATAAAAAAAAAAAAAAAAAAAAACCTAACCTAACCTAACCTAACCTAGCCTAACCTAACCTAACCTAACCTAACCTTTTTTTTTTTTTTTACGGGGGGGGAAATCCTCATGGACTGCCTCTGCCTGGGGACAGGCGGAGGGGTGTGCCGGACTCTTACCGGCTAAAACCACCCCGGTGTCTCCTCGCACGTGCACGCGCGGGGCCGCGGGAATCCAAATTCTTCCGTAGCCCCACACTAGTGCTGGCCCGGTCTGTACGGGCCTCGTCTCCTGCACGGGGTAGTGAGGTGTTCAACTACCCCCTGTATTACCTCAGCACGGCACGGCGGAGGCACGCGTGGGTGTCGGCGCGTGCCTCCGCCTCGGGTCCATCGAATAGGGGGGGCGGGGGGCTTCCCCTAGTCCCTCGCCCCTGGACTTATTCATGGGGGCTGGAAAAGGGCGTTGTCCGCCCTTCTCCTGCGCCCGGTGCGCCTTCTGCGGCCAGGGAAGGGAGTCGAGATCTCCCTCTCCCCTTCCGCAGTTTCCTTCTGCGACATCACGTCCTCACAGAAGGACACCACTGCATCCCACGATTCTGCGCTACCGACCATACTCCGCACCAAGGCCGACAGCGACAAATCGCCTCCTACTACATTTGTGAGGACACGGCGCTGCTCCTCCCAAGCTACACACTCGGCGAGCGTGTGTTGCGCCGTGTCCTCCCCGCAATGGACGCAGTGGTGGCACCGAGCGTCCGGCTCCCTGTCTATGCGGCACAGGTACTTGCCAAAGCAGCCGTGCCCCGACAGCACCTGCGTCACCCTAAACGACAGGGAGCCGTGCCTTCTCCCGAGCCAGTCGTCGAGTACTGGCCGGATCGCCTCGACGATAGCGAGGCCGGCGGTAGGGCGCAGAAGCCTTTGCCGCCATTCCGCCACCAAGACCTGACGGAGCTCCTCTCGGCGCAGCGCGATCTGTCGCTGCACCGGCCTCGAGCCCCGTCCCCGCTCTTTCTCGCGCCATCGATATAGTGACGCGAGTACTTTTGCCTCTAGGTCCCAGGGCGGGGATCCGGCCAGGACGCAAGCCGCCTCGTAGGAAATCGTGCGATACCCGCGGGTGACTCTGACGGCCATCGCCCTCTGCGGTTTGCGCAGAATGGCGAGAGTGCTGGCCGTCATGTCCATCGCCCATACAGGGGCCCCATACAGGGCCATGGACCGCACGATTCCCACGTACAACCGCCCACAGGCAGCGCTCGGGCCCCCCCAAGTTGGGAAGCAGCGTTGAAAGTGCGCCAGCTGCACGCATCAGCTTGGGCACCAGCCGCCGGAAGTGGGGCCCAAATTCCCATCGGCTGTCGAGCACCAATCCCAGGTACTTCATGGTGGACTCGACAGCTATCCGGGCCCCGCCGACCACGATGTGCGATCCCGGTGGCGGCGCGCGTCGAAGGCCATGAAACACCATGGCCTCCGACTTGTTACGGGCCACCTCCAGGCCCAGGCACCGGATGCGGTTCACCACTTGTGAAACCGCAGCCGTGGCAACCAACGCTGCTTCCCTGTGCGAGCTCCCCCGGGCAGTGACGAGCGTGTCGTCCGCATAACAGGTCAAGTCAGCGCCCGACGGGAGCTCACCTCTCAGCACCCAGTCGTAGCCGATGTTCCACAGGAGCGGTCCCAAGACCGATCCCTGCGGAACACCGCACGACATGACGCGTCGACCAGCGCTGTCACGTCCCCAATATGTGACGCATCTCTCCTCAAGGTAGGCCCCTATTGTGCGGCGGAGGTAGGGAGGCACGCGATGGTAATTAAGCGCCTCCCGAATACAACTCCAGGGTAGGGTGTTGAAG